ATTGAGCTCCCAAGCACTTTAATGTGTAGAGGGACACTTCAGCTTCAAAACAAGCCTTTAATCTCCAATTTTCATCTAGCCAATTGTAAGATATGAATCTTCAAAGTAGGCACCATGAAACTGTTTTTACACCGAAACAACATATTAGGTCGACCTAATCCTATATGAGGTCGACCGAAAAGTGCATGTGACTCACTTCTACTGTCACTCTAGTAATTGGCCAAGTGAAACCACTTCCTAAAGTGTAGTATAGCGGGTTTGGGTTTAAATGTCAACCCGGGTCCTAGATTTGATGACTACTCGGTGAATTCTTGTTATCTAGCAATGAAACTTTAATGCAAGTCTAAACTAACAAACAAGCAAAGCAACTAAACGGTTGTATTCAGGTTAAGAGAGGTCACCCGGATATGGTTCCCCCTAGACTGCAGTTAAGTCGGATTGCAATTACCAAGTTCAGTTTCTATGATAGTTATACTGCGGAAGGTTCTTAAGCAGTCTGAAGCCTCGACTAAAGGTCTCCAGACCCTCTCAATCTGAGTCTCGAGCGGGCGACTAACCTCCACCGGAGTAAACAGATTGAGGCCCTAACGAACAAAACCTCCACTACCGAAGTGAATTCGGTACAGAATAGTGAGTTGGCTCCTCGACTAAAGTCACCAACTCCCTACCTTCAATCAAGGATGCTCTATCAACCTAGGCAGATATTCTCATTCTAGGTTAAAGCAGAAACAACAGGAATTTGATCAGGATTCATGCCATTCAAACCTCAATTGAATATAATCAAATCATAGAATCAGTACTTGGGTTCATACAATCAAACCTAACATACAAATCTAGGGTTCTCCAGACCCAGATGAATGGGAGAACTACTCCATGGAGAAAGAAGCAAAAGCAGAATCAGACGCGGAATTCATACTGTGAAGGATGGATTCCTGCTCCTGGACGTTGATCGGCACTTCTCCAAGCTCAAGCCAAGCTCCAATGGTGATGAAGATCAAGCTAGGGCACTTGGAGACTCTTGTTCGTCGCTTTCTCTCTCTAGGAATCGCTCTGTCTCTCTAAAACTCGAATCCTCTTCTGTTTTGGCTGAAATATGCCTAAAAGGGCATCACTGGGCAAAACACGGTCGAGGGCACGGCCGTGCTTTGCTCCAGCCCGCCCGTGTTTTGCCCCGTGTTAAAAACACGCCCGCGCGCGTCGGCCAAAACACGGTCGTGCCTAAATATGGGCACGGCCGTGTTTTGATTTAGGCGCGCCCGTGTTTTTACTGCCGAACATGTTCCCCTATATTCAATGCTTCGTTTCTCCCTCGTCCGGACTCCGAATCAGTCGCCGTTTGATCCCAGACGCTCGTAGTCTCGTCCTCTTTCTTTTCATTACAAGCTTGCATGATTCTTTGTCCATAAAGTGAGATAGAAATCCATTCTTCTTCAGGTCATGCTCGAGTTTCTTCTCCCGAATCGCCAATTGATCTCTGATTGACTTGAAACTTGCGCCTATGCTTCACTTTATGTGCTAGGACCTGAAATGTGACAAAGGAACACAACCTAGCGTAAAATAGGCCAAAGACGCGATAATTAAATCTCAAACGATCAAGAAACAAAGGGGAAAACATGTGCAAATATCGAGTCATCAAATCCCCCACACTTAACCGTTTGCTTGTCCCCAAGCAAACCAAGTCAGAGACAAGGTAAGCTCAAAACGTTTCAATCAAGCAGGCTTTAGGGCATATCATATCAGCACAAACACGTGGATCATATTGGCTTTCGATCATTAACACATGGACAACCTCAACGACAACCTAGACAACCACCACAGATGACATTCGAATGCAATAAAGTCGAGCAAAGGAAGAGTTCCCTTCTGTTCACCAACCAACATAGACTTGACTCAACCACTTATTCAAAACAGTCACTTCATGCACAAAGCTCAAGATATCAGAATTAAGACCGAGCAATCTAGGTCCTCAGCGGGATAAAGAGTATAGATAATATGAGAAAATGAATCGCTCACTCTCGACCAGTGGGGTCAGGACAATTTGATGCGAAAAATGTGCATGCTTATTCTCTCAATCCCTAACGTCTCTTCACCATGAATGCAGCCTCTAAATGCTAGAGTTCACATATGGGGTGTCACCACTAACTAATCCGGAGGTCGTAGACACAAGTTCAGATGACTGGCTAGGGTCTTGGACAAGGGGAAAAGGCCTTTTAGGTGGTGGAAGTATTCATAGCACAAGGTTCCACATTTCCAAACCCAACAAACTCACAGTCAATCAAACCAATAACTTTCTTTCTGCTATTCAGCATTACTCAAATTCTTCAGAGCATAAGAGCGAAGGAGGTCACATAAATGCTAGTATTTCTAAGCCAGACTGCTAAGAAACACTACTTAATGGGCACTATTCAGACTTTTGGTGGTGGCTCTCTTTTGCTTTCATTTTTTCTTTGTTTTTCTTTGATTTTTTTTTTCATTTCTTAAGAGAACCACCACCTCTGCACATTTTTCAAGCACCTGCCCAACTTTTTAAGAACTACCTCCAACCCTAACATTATATTAAGCAGAAACAGCAGAGAACATGTAAAAACCACTCTGTGGAACCTTCTAAGAGATGCAAAAGGGTGATTTTTTCATATTGACCGAAAGAAAGGGTAACACACGGCTCAAAGGGGCTGACTAGGGGGTATGACACACCAGGACAGTCAATTTGGTCGTGGGCTAATCCTATGCCTCCATCATCTTAGCTAATGACAACGTGAATGCTGCACATCATGGAAGAGGGAACTATCACACAAGAAAGAAACGAGCAGGCTCAAGTCTCACATGGCTACCTATATGCTCTATCTCTCGTTCTGATTCCTTGAACTAGATGCATAAATGACTATCAAAAGCAAGTAATCAAACCAAGTCACATTTGGTAAGCAAACAGTTGAAAAACTGAACCCCTACACAATTCTACTGCTCATCTCAGTCATCATAATAAGCTGTCTTAGTCACACTCAAGTTGTCATGCATCAAGTCAAAAGCCATTCAATTCACTAATCACATCCACAGTGCCAATACGATCAAACATCAGGCAAACAGCAGTGCTTGGAGCCCTCAAATCTAGAGATTTGGACAGTGGACTAGGCTCCAAACACACAAACAGATCTAACGCAGTCAAAAGAGAAACATCCCCCCCCCCCCAACACTTAAGATCGAAATTGCCCTCAATGGAGAAGAGGGAAGGATAAGGGGAACGATGTTACCGGTGTTCACAGACTGCATGAGACTGGAAGAGGGCCCGTCGAGTGAAGCGGACTGGAGAGGGACCCATCTGGAATAAAGCACAGCTAAATGGGGACAGAAGAGCTAAAACACAACATGTTAGGTCCAATGGTCAACCCAAAAAAACATCATCCAAAATAAAAGAAAACAAACCAAAACCAAACCGGTTTACAATCCGACTCAAAACAAAAGAAAGAGATTAAAACCGTGGTGGGGTTGCCTCCCCACAAGCGCTTCTTTACCGTCTTTTAGCTGGACGCCCATGGTGGATACTCAGGGAGGTGCAGGAACAGGTGCCTCCAAGAGCGGATCCACGTCGCTCTTGAGGTACAGCTTCAGGTTGTGGCCATGCACCCGACGGATGCGACCACCATCATCGGTCAGCTCGACCTGGCCATCTGGCAAGATGCAGGTGAGTGAGTACCCGGACGGCTAGGGTGGTCGTGGTGCAGGAGGTGGGACCAGCTCGTACTGGTCTCCACCCTTCTTCCGTGCAGGCTTAGCAACCTGCTGCTTCGGCCGCCACTCCTCCTTGATCTTTTTGTTCGGAGGCGAGACTGGATGGAGTGGCGGCGAAGGAATGATAGGAGGGTCCTGCAAAATGAGAGGTGCAGAAGGATACACGACAGGCTCGTGTACCTGATCAGAAATGGCATGCACAGGTGTGACAGCAATCATAGCACAGTGATCGAATTCAGTCACAGAAAAAGTAGCATGTTCATTCCCAGCACGCAGGATCAATTTACCATCATGCACATCAATAAGTGCCTTGGCGGTGGCAAGAAATGGTCTACCCAGAATCAAAGGCACATCCACATCCTCATGTATATCAAGAATAACAAAATCAACAGGATATGTGAATGCACCTACATTAACAAGCAGATCCTCTATGATCCCCCTAGGATGCACAATGGAACGATCAGCTAGCTGAATGCTCATCCTAGTAGGGCTAAGTTCACATAGGTCTAGCTTTTTATACAACTTATATGGCATAACATTTATGCTAGCGCCTAGGTCCGCCAAGGACTTGCCTACATGCATGCTGCCAATAGTAAGAGGGATAGTAAAACTCCCTAGGTCCTTGCGCTTTTCGGGCAGCTTGTTCTGCAGGATAGCAGAACACTCCTCGCTCAGCAACACTGTCGAGAGATCCCCAAGTTTCTTCTTGTTGGTGAGGAGATCTTTCATGAACTTCGCGTACTTGGGCATCTTCGACAGTGCCTCCACAAACGGTATGCTGATGTTGAGCTGCTTTAACATTTCCATAAAATTGGCAAACTCAGTCTCCAACTTGTCTTTGTGTAGGCGAGTGGGGAAGGGAAGCTGGGGTACATGCTCTTTAACCACTGGTTGTGGCTTGGGAGCAGGGGCTTCCTTCTCCATCCGCACTTCTGCATCGTCGGCTGGAAGTGCTGAAGCAGGTAGTGGTTCCTCCTTCCTGGCCGGGACAGGATCAACAGATATGGTCTTACCGCTCCTGGTAAAAATGGCATCCAACTGCTGGTGCGGCTCCCGTGGATTGGGGATGGTAGTGGCAGGGAGAGTTCCCGGGGATCGGGTATTAATTTGGCGAGCCATGTCACCCATCTGGTTCTGCAAATCTTGCAAAATGGCACCTTGGTTCCTCTGACCTGCCTCCAGTGAGGCTATGCTCTGGTCCAACCTCGTGACAGTTGCCTGAGTGCTAGTCATGAATGAAGCTAGAATATTCTCCAGCTTCGTCATCTGATTATCTAGAGCCGGAGCTGCTGCTGGCTCGGCATACTGACGCTGGGGCTGCTGGAATGGTTACCCCTGCCTAGGCTGGTAGGGCTGCTGCTGTGGGGCTGCCTCTGCTGAAAACCACCAGCTGGTGCAGGGAAACCAGGTGGTTTAGTGGTGTTGCTATTCCAAGAGAAGTTGGGATGTTGGCGCCACCCTTCATTGTATGTGTTACTGTATGGATCGAGGCGCCGCGCATTGGCAATGAAGGCCAACTGCTCCTTGGGTGTAGAGGACTCCCGCATAGCCTGGCAGTCCTCCACCAGATGATTTGAGCTCTCACACCACTGACATTGAGCTACTGGAGTACACCTCCTGGGCATAGAGACTCAATCACCCTCTGGCTGTCCGGAGAGAGAGCGTTGTAGAAGTTCCCCACTGTGAATGCATCACTGAAGCCATGATGGGGACACTGCTAGAAATATCACATGTACCGCTCCCATGCATCACGAAGTGACTCGTCTGACTCTTGGCGGAAGTGAGTGATCTCCCGCTGGATCTCTGTAGTCTTCGATGATGGGTAGTACCTGTGCACGATATTATCAGCCAGATCATCCCAAGAAGTGATGGACAATGGGGGCTGGGTCTCCAACCACCTCTTAGCATTCCCCGCCAGAGAATGGGGGAAAAGGTGAAGGCGGATTGCATCATCGGGGACACCGTTCAGCTTGAACCCGTTCGTCAGCTGCAGAAAACGGGAAAGATGTACCCTGGCCTCCTCATCCTTCAAGCCATGGAACTGGATAGAGGATGTAATGAGCTGAATCCAGCATGGCTTGATCTCGAAGTTGTTCGCTGGAATAGGTGGGTAGAGGATGATCGGGCGGATGTCAGCAATCCGTGGAGTGTAGTAGTACTCCAAGGTGGGACTCGACGGCGGTGGATGATGATGAACCCCATCTGCCTGGGGTATGGGGTTGTTCCCCAGGACCTGATTCACCGGGGGAGCATGCTGAGGATTTCCCTGGTGTAGATTGTAATCTCCGTCCATCCAGTACTCTTCCTCAGAATTGCTGCTCAAGTGGCCGTCTATGCGCTCTTCCGTAGCCAGTCTAGCTCGTTGTTGTGTCCTGAGTTGGCGACAGGTGTGGTCAATCTCTGGATTCAACGGCAGTAAACCTCCTGACTGGCTACGGGTCATGCACTACCTGCACGCACTCAAGCAAGAAAACCCGTGAAGGCACAAATGGGACAAAGCAAACAATGCGAAAAGAAAAGCTAAATTAACAGAAATCACTTTTCTTCAACAACCTAGCCGTCCCCGGCAACGGCGCCAAAAACTTGACTCACTTCTACTGTCACTCTAGGAATTGGCCAAGTGAAACCACTTCCTAAAGTGTAGTATAGCGGGTTTGGGTTTAAATGTCAACCCGGGTCCTAGATGACTACTCGGTGAATTCTTGTTATCTAGCAATGAAACTTTAATGCAAGTCTAAACTAACAAACAAGCAAAGCAACTAAACGGTTGTATTCAGGTTAAGAGAGGTCACCCGGATATGGTTCCCCCTAGACTGCAGTTAAGCCGGATTGCAATTACCAAGTTCAGTTTCTATGATAGTTACACTGCGGAAGGTTCTTAAGCAGTCTGAAGTCTCGACTAAAGGTCTCCAGACCCTCTCAATCTGAGTCTCTAGCGGGCGACTAGCCTCCACCGGAGTAAACAGATTGAGGCCCTAACTAACAAAACCTCCACTACCGAAGTGAATTCGGTACAGAATAGTGAGTTGGCTCCTCGACTAAAGTCACCAACTCCCTACCTTCAATCAAGGATGCTCTATCAACCTAGGCAGATATTGTCATTCTAGGTTAAAGCAGAAACAACAGAAATTTGATCAGGATTCATGCCATTCAATCATTCAAACCTCAATTGAATATAATCAAATCATAGAATCAGTACTTAGGTTCATACAATCAAACCTAACATACAAATCTAGGGTTCTCCATACCCAGATGAATGGGAGAACTACTCCATGGAGAAAGAAGCAAAAGCAGAATCAGATGCGGAATTCATACTGTGAAGGATGGATTCCTGCTCCTAGACGTTGATCGGCACTTCTCCAAGCTCAAGCCAAGCTCCAATGGTGATGAAGATCAAGCTAGGGCACTTGGAGACTCTTGTTCGTTGCTTTCTCTCTCTAGGAATCGCTCTGTCTCTCTAAAACTCGAATCCTCTTATGTTTTGGCTGAAATCTGCCTAAAAGGGCATCACTGGGCAAAACACGGTCGAGGGCACGGCCGTGCTTTGCTCCAGCCCGCCCGTGCTTTGCCCCGTGTTAAAAACACGCCCGCGCACGTCGGCCAAAACACGGTCGTGCCTAAATATGGGCACGGCCGTGTTTTGATTTAGGCGCGCCCGTGTTTTTACTGCCGAACATGTTCCCCTATATTCAATGCTTCGTTTCTCCCTCGTCCGGACTCCGAATCAGTCGCCGTTTGATCCCAGACGCTCGTAGTCTCGTCCTCTTTATTTTCATTACAAGCTTGCATGATTCTTTGTCCATAAAGTGAGATAGAAATCCATTCTTCTTCAGGTCATGCTCGAGTTTCTTCTCCCGAATCGCCAATTGATCTCTGATTGACTTGAAACTTGCGCCTATGCTTCACTTTATGTGCTAGGACCTGAAATGTGACAAAGGAACACAACTTAGCGTAAAATAAGCCAAAGACGCGATAATTAAATCTCAAACGATCAAGAAACAAAGGGGAAAACATGTACAAATATCGAGTCATCAGCATGTCACCGTGACATGCATGTCACCGTAGCAAAGACCTAGTTATTATTGTTATTATTATCATCAATCATCATCCAACCCCCAAGTCTCCCCCATTAGGAACGAAAAAGAAGAAGAAAAAAAAAATTAATAATAATAATAATAATAATAATAATAATAGAAGTAAATACCCCACTCTCATTCCGTAACCCACTCCCACCAATTATCTCCCGTTAAAGCCCTAATAATTTTCTGTAACCCCCAGCCCTAGTTTCACTCGGCCTCCCCACTCTTTACCCTCACCCTACATCTAATAAAGAAACCAAAACATAGGAGAATTCTACACCAAAGTCAAGCGGCCGTACCACTCTCCTCTCCCTCGATCAAACAACACCAGTCGATCCCTCCCACGCGAGCTCCGAGCGACGCCAAGCTTGGGACAATTCCCTTCTTCTCAACGAAAGCACTCATCCATCCCTTCTCGTAGGTCCGATAGGTAAGAACCTCGACCTCAATCCTTTTTTAGCTCGTTTAAACCGCGATTAACCCGACAAACCCCATGATGAACGTAGCTTCGACAGTGTTCCCGGCGTGGTCGACTTCAACTAAAGTTCAAAATCTTGGCATCATCGCGAAGAGGGCGATCCCAGGAGCATCCCGGTTTTGACGGAATTGAATTTCGACGTCGGACGAGTGTGATACGAGTCCCGAGAGTTGGTGACGCAAATCTGATAATTCAGCTACTAATATTGTAAATTCAAAACGTATTAGTACTGTGACGGTAATTCGGTCTGCGAGAAAATATCTAGATTAGTCCCCCATATTGTCAGTTCGAGCTGCTTAGTCCCTATTGTTTTGAAAATTGACAATCGGCCAAAAAAATTGTATTTTTCAAGATTGTTATTATTATAGTTGCTTTACAGTATGTATTTTCGTGAGGTGATAATTTTCTAAATAGTAAAAATCAAGAGAATGGTTGGGTATGAATCTGAGAATTTTTGGAACTGTGTTTCCTTTAATTAAAATAGTTAGAAAAAGGTTTCTGGTAAACTAAATTAGTTTGCGAGTGTTTTCGTCAGATTTGGAATTTTTCCTGCAACAAGATGCCAGTATGGTTATCCAGAAATTTTTTGGAAATTTTTGGAGGAGATTTGTTAATTTTTAAAATTAAAATGATGACGGATTTAATTTATTTAATTACTATATGAGTTATTTTTATTAGTTTGTTAATTTTTTTAAAAACTAGAATTTAGGTTTCACGTTTTAAAATTCAAATCGAGAATTTTAGGCGCTGTTAGTATAGATCTGAAATTCCCTATTGATAAAATTGAATTAGTAGAAGGAGTTAGTTAAGGTGTAAATTTTACTTGAAAATTTTGGTTCATGTTTAGGGTTATTCTAAATCAGAATTTTGAGTTCTTAAGAAGTAAAATATTTTGAGAAATTTATGAGATTTATTTATAAGAGTTTCAAGTTGATAGTAGTAATTCAAGTCTTGGTAAATTTTGGAGAAAATAGAAAATTATTTCAAGAAGTTCAATGCCCTTTTTAAAGAATTTTGGGACTAAGCTAGGAGAATGGAAAACTCTACGGAATACCGTCTAAGGGTAGTTAATCTCTATTGATAGGATTAAGGAAGCGATCAAGTTAAGGATCTCCGCGTCCAACGAATTGAAGTATCGACACTTGAGAGGTGAGTGTAAAGGGGGTAAATTCTACGCCTTACGGTATTTGAGTTCTTTGAGATTGATTGCTATGTGTCGTACTTGTCTTTGTGTGTTTCTATGATGTCATGTGCCTTTGCGTGAATATGCTTTCAGTTGTATGTTATTGCATGATTTACTTACAAGTAAGTTCAAGTTTAAGAAACAAGTACTTTTTAAGAAGTAAGTCCCCTTTAAGTGTTTTTAGTCACCAGTGCCAGTCCGTTGCCATTTGAGATTTTCAGACAGAGCAGCAGTTATGGTCTTGAGACTTTTAAGATGAGCAGCAGTTATGCTCTTGAGATATTTTAAGATGAGCAGCAGTTATGCTCTTGAGAATCGTGGAAGAAGAACATTCCACGATAAGTTTAAGTTTAAGGAAAGCCTGAATGGCTTCTCATACGTATGAGTTGGCAACCGGACTAGCTAGTGAGGGATCCCAATGTCGGTCAAATATTTAAGTTGAGATTTGAGCTTTAAGAATAAATTTTAAAGAGTGGAAGTATCATCCACCAATTTAAGTTAAGTTCTCAAGTAAGAAATACTAGAGTTTTCAAACGTAAGGGCGTAGACTGACCCCAACTCACTCACCAGATCGTAGAGGAGGAAATCATAACCAGCCAGTCCGTGATTAGCAAGCTAGAGGAGCTCAACACCATCGTCGCTAAGAGATGTCGAGCCAAGCGTCAGAGTAAGCATCGAATAACTTGTTAAGTTATTCAGACTTTATGGTTAAGTGTTAAAAACTGGAGATTCATTTCTTTTGGACGATTTAAGTTTTGCCCACGTGTTTAGGGCTTCAATTTGAGATATTAAGATATTTGAGTTTGGTATTTTATTTAAACTTGTGTTATTTGAGAATTTTTAATTATACCCCGGGGTAGAAATGTCTTTTTTCAAATTCAAAGA